CGTCCGAATACTGGGTAGCCAAGTGGAACATTAAAGCAGTGAGGTAGGCAGGATCAGCAGTAGGGTTACCCGAGGCAGTGAAAAAATCAACAGATGGATCTTCACTAGCTTGTTGGTCGACGATGTTGCAACTGGTGGAGGTAAAAGGGACAGGCAAACGATATCCTCGCAACACGTGCTCCTCCAATTGCACACGACATTTAACGAGGAGATCCTAGGCAGCAATCTGGAGGCTGGACAGACTGACAATAGCTCGTGTTGGACGATACTGCATGGACAAGTAGTTGTCATCTTCAATGAAGATGGTGGGCTCGGGTGGATGGTCGCCTGTTGCCAGTGTTGCGGTTCTCATAGTTTCCTGAAACATATTCATGGCAGTGGGAACACCATCACGAAGCCAGAACATAATATCCCGTGCTTGCTCACTAATAAGAAAGAAGAAAGGTAGGTATTTCAATAAAAGTAGAATTGGCATGAAAAAAAAAGACAATAAAGAATAAGTGTCATGATAATTACCGGTCAATCGTACGCTGGGCGTCGTGGAATGCTGGATCTGTCAATCGTTCGTTGTCTGCATATATAGTTTGCACGTCCATTTTATTAATGAAATCGTATTATTTAATACGGACGTATTAATACGATCGTATTTTTATCTGTGTAATACGGACGTATTATCCTTTCAAAAAAATACGTCTATATTGTTCATTACTAGTGCACTATCTCAAGTTGAATACATAGTATCTATTCTCAGTACATATCATATTTAAGACAACGACATATAAAAAACAAGAGGTAATAGAAATACGACGCAGTAAAAGACGACGTGGTAGAAATACGACGTAGTAAAAGACGACGTAGTAAAAGACGACGTAGTAGAAATACGACGTAGTAAAAGACGACGTAGTAGAAATACGACGTAGTAAAAGACGACGTAGTAAAAGACGACGTAGTAAAAGACGGCGTGGTAGAAATACGATGTAGTAGAATACGACGTAATAGAGATGCGTCGTAGTTGAAGACGATGTAGTAGAACACTACGTGGTAGAAATACGGCATAGTCAAAGATGGTGTAGTAAGACACGATGTAATAAAAAATGCATGTTGCGACCACAAAGCAATATATAATGTAGCAAAAGTATGATGTAGCACAAATACAGCCTACTTCAAATGCAATATTATCAAAACATATCTTCTCACATCACACTGCTATGATAAGCGTATTCAATGCAATAATAGTTTTATCTCTAGCTGTACACTATGTAGATAAACGGCGCATAAGCACAATTCACAGTGGACTATGTATGATAGATGAATTCTATAAGAGGGTTATACACCTTGTACCAATAATATTAATATTATGCTGTCGTGAATGTAATGTATATATAACAGCATTTCTCCAGCGGATTTATCGCTAATCGTGCTCAATGAAACGACAGCATGTACATAACGATATAGAAGTATACTATAACATATTATATAAGTATACACTTTGAATTTGAAACAGTCAATGTGGTTAGTCCTTATTCACAGCTTATCCGTGCTCCTTGATCTAATTGACGACGTACACCACCGTTCATGATATTAAGTTTGAAAGCCATACACTGCATTCGTAATTGCTGCTATTGAAATACTGCGACTTAAGGGACAGACGTTTTTACCCATTTCATTGTGTCAATGTATACAGCATGCCAAGTGTAAGATCCCAATCGACCATTGCAGAATATCTAACTACAAACATAATTGTGATTGCAGGAATTGTAAAAGCGGTCAAAGTCCCAAGCACAACTAGTACCACGACACCTTCTATTAACAATAGATAAAGCAGAGTAGAACAATTTTTATATACCGTCAACATCACCAAACCAGCTCTTTCAGTACATAGCGTTACAAAAGGGTATTAGGCTCTCTCTCAATAAAACCTCCTTTCACATTTATCAATACACGGTTTCTTTATTGATCAGCGAGGATGAGAAATAAACGCATGTAATTATCATTCTAAGAGCATTCTTCTGTTTTTGACAATCTGCGTCCGTCATATAACGCCAATATCATTCAAATGAAAAAAATGGATGCACAGTAAAATAAACATTAGGAAAGTTAGAATAGCAATAATACATATTATGATAGCATTACAGAATTTTCATTCTCACTTTCGGTATTGCTGTTTGGATTAAGAGCCCCTTTCACGATCTTGCCATTTGCAATTGTCAAACTAGTTGAATAATGCTTGCGCTCACGGAGAAAAAATGCGAATGCTAAATCTATATATCCGTGTGTCAACTAGCAGTGACCGACAATACTTCCAGTACCTTTTTCCTCCTCTACCAACATCACTAGCAGTTAAAGTTCTGGCCAACGTAATCGTCATCGTCAATGCCTTGTTGGCCATTTCATTATTGTTCGATGCTCCTGAAAAAAAGAAATAACGCAGTAAGTTGCTTCGAGAGCAGTGCTTAACATATATCTTTATATGTTACATCTACGTATAAAACAAATTCTCAATTCTCCGTACTTCATATCTTTCATAGTAGCGCTCTGAATTCATTTTAATTTGCAATCTTGGATCATTTTGACGATGGCATCTACTGTAAATTGAGTATCATTGTTGTTGACGATGAACACTTCGTCAAAGAATAAAGATTCACTGTTGCAAATTGTAATAATTTTATTCAAAACACTGGCCCCCTCCCATAAAAAAAACGGTAGCATCTATCTATACTCAATTTTCAGTCCAACTTTCGTCATGGTTTTTTTGCATATAGTCATTTTGCAAACATCTCTTGTGAAATATGATACATACCTTTCAACCAATTCTTTTAATAGACCAGCTCAAACAAAACGGCAATCGCCTATATACTGTATAATAGTTATACCGCAGCAGTATGTTGAAGCATACCACCATATTAAATGCTATATATGTAGCAGAAAGAATCGATATAATGATGTCGTTATCGAAATAACTAATGTGAAGAATAATCAGTACCTCATGTTGATCGCTGTTATAAGATTCTACTATAGATGATATCATTCGGCTTTTTCCACATCAATATAAGGTTAAATGCATATATACAACTACATCATTACCGCTACAATCTTTGCATCTTTATACACAGAACAAGTTGATATGTAATTATTCAAAAAGTTGATAATTGCTTTTTACTCAACAGAGATATCCATATCCTTCATGAGATCAATGAAATGATGCAATTGATCTAATTGAATAATTAGTATCTTGTTGATGTTGTCTGAATCTGGTCTCGCCATCTTCATATGCACCTATCCGTATAAAGAACATAAAAGTACAAGCAAAAATAGCTCAGTACCAATTGCATAATTTTTCTGTACCAAGCAAACTACCGAATCGTGCACATGCTATGTTGTATGTGGCATTAGTAAGAAGCGCATAAAACAGTATCGTACGATGTAGTACTTCTATACTATAAACTTTATTATTGTAATTTGTAACGGTTATTACATATTCACTCTTATATGTGAGAATCGATATACATTACGATGGCGTAATTAGACCAATCTCTTTATCGTTGTTGTTGTTGTCTACGTCTAAACTTATTACAGTAACTTTATGACGTTGTTGTTTTCTTTGATGTGAATCCAGTCTACAATTACCACAATGTTTATATGACGTTGTTGATTTCACTGCTGATCATGATGCTTAGCTTCATCGATATTGCGATTCAAATCATTGTAAATGAGGAAGGAAACAAGAGCTTGATACTATATCTATCATATGATACTGCTGCTGACAGTCAACAAAAGTAAATATGATCACCATGATTATATTGCCTTACTTGTATACGTGCTTGGAAAAGGCATAATATATACCGCACAGTGGTCCTCATATCAGCTTATAAATCAGAATGACGCGTTGTTCAGAGAGGTACCCTATACTGCTGCTGCGTGATCCTTTACCCATGTAAAATAGGACATACATTTGCTCTAAAAAATGCAAGACCAACTCGATTTGTATACATTGATACAATAATTTGCGTTGTAAATTGCAGTATATGAGATTGAAAGCGATGAACTAAAAAAAGAAGGTCCAGCCGCAAAGTGGTCCAGGTGCTGTCGTTTATCTACGCGAGTTATGTTTTTTTTTACTTGGCGGCCCATTGCTGTATATTTTGCATTGTAAACGACGCCACCCTGAAAAGTGAAAGGCGCAAATCTTATGGGAAAATACCGAACTTGTGTTGTATAACAGTTGCTGCTATGTTGTCAATAATAAATAGTTTGTTGATCATGTCTGATATTAGCCGACCCTTTTTTCGCACAAACCCCTTTTTCACACAGACCCTTAATTCCCGTAAATTTGTCACAAGTTGTTGACCCCTTTTTTCAACTGGACCCTACTTTTTTTTCTGAACCCTACTTTTTTTTCTGAACCCTTTCTTGTAAAAACTTGTTACTAATCAATTCACAATTTACAAGCGTTCTTATTACTAATCGACCCTCTTTTGTGATCGACCCTTTTTTTCAAAAGCTCACTGCATCCATTTTCCCAAATAAACAAACTGCAGCTATGATACTATTGGTTTCATGGTATGTCGACTATATCTACTATTAGACTCATTAGGCGAACCTCTCTCATTTGTTTTTCATGCTGACCGAATTACAATTAATGGTTGATCATATCGATTACTATTCAACTTCTCATCACATATTCGCCTCTACCCTTATTTTCCTAAAAAAAGGAGAAATGATGTCATTAGATTACAGTTTATCGATAATAGCTATCGCTAATCCACTTTTGCTTCTAGCTGATCCTCTATTTCCAATCGTCCCGTTGCTTTGTAATCGCCGCTTTCTTGATAAGCTGTTGTATGGAACTGTCATAGTGGATAGAGACTTCTACTCATTGTTGTAAAAAGAAAAAAAAAGTATAAAAGGCCGCGGTCATGAAGCCATATTTTACTAATCATACTCCATTACATTTTATCATCGCTTATCTGCTTCGCTTTATAACATCCTTATTCTTTACAATGTCCAACTCGCCCATCTCACCTGTTGATATGCGTACATTTGAATGTAGCCATGCTGGATGTGGTGCTCTGTTTCCTAGCGAATACGATCGTGAACGTCATGTTCGTATCGCCCATCAGAAGAATGCAACTGTCACGTATCCCGATGGTAAGTCTTTTTCGTTTTTTTTTGTGTCATGCTATATATTGTTGTTTCCTTCCTTGTTTAAAAGTGAACAGTAAGCTAATATTGCTCTACTAATAATTTCAAATGCTTGGCTTTGTTGTGTTTTATAGGTGAGAAAATTGTGATTGAACGGGGCGCTGACGACCTTTTTCATTGTATACACTGTACCGCTACATATACAGCAGCATCTATAAGCAACTTGCACCGGCACACGAAGGAATGCTATGGCGCGGACGACACAACGGTCGTGATGAATGCTGACACGTGTGGTAACGACGATTGTGCTGACGTCTCAGACGAGTTAGCACCAGTTATGCAACAAGTAATCATGAATGTTGGATCTTCGATTGCTCCACCGACTGCAGATGAAGGAAGGCCCATCACCAGCGACAACCGCCTTCTAAGCTGGTTTTATTCTCATCTCAAGTGGAATCATTATGTCGCCGATTGGTGCTTTACTGGTAATGATGAAAAACCGTTTGCTTCAATTAGTCATGATATTGCGCTTTTGAATAATGAATTCTATACTAAAAGCTCTGATATAATTTGTTTCTCTCATAGGTGCGACTATGCAAGACCTGGTCGACCTTATGAAACCAGTTGATACAGGCGACGCTATACTGCAATACGTTATAAAGGCCGTGCGATTGTATTTTGACTGTATGCACAATAATATTGATTCGATGGACTACTTTGTCCGGCGCTTACTGATGCATGACGTGTATGTATACTGTAATTTCTTTTCTCATTTGATATTGTTATTTTGTATTCTTCTTGTCTGAATGACTAACATCGCCTCTTCGTCCAATATATGCTCACAAGTGCGCAGGAACGAGTGCCCAAGGTTGGTTTCCAGAAACTAGGAGGCGATGGTAGCGTCCACAAGTATGCTACTACTGGTGTACATTTCATATTGTTCTTGATCCGATCCAGGTATAACAAGTCATTGTATTTGCTGTCTCCGCCTATCGCAATAACCAGTCTTGTTGAATCTCTTGTCCTTGTTGCCACCGCTGAAACGAAAAGACCAGATGTGGAACGGCAGTATACAAGTGCACGACGGTTAATTCACAAAATGATGTTGATCGCGCTCATGGAAAAAAAGCTGCTGAACACCCCTCCCTCTGGCTACGTGCTCATACGGTTCCTCATAATCAACTCATTGGATTACACTGGCAAGTTTGTTCCTACCCGTGATATAACCCCGGTCATCGCAAAATTGAAGTATTGGTTACGACTCGTGGTCTTATGTGACATCATGCAGCCGTCCGAAGTCGATCATGCTTTAGAGAAGTAAGTATCCATGTCTATATACATTTTTTTATCATGAACAAATATTCCATGACGTTTACAGTAACTTAACTATTGTTTTTCTGAAGACTCGAACAAACGTATGCTCCTTTCCTCATGGATGCCCATGCAACTCCATTTGGTGCACTTGTTGAAATAAGCCGTCTTGCATCGACATCAGTGGCAAATGATTCCCGCTTGCCTTACATATTCTGGTCCGCAAAAGGAAACTTTACCGAGTGACTTTGGCTGACTCGTGTGAAACTGTCAAGCTCCATCATATATCACATCTTGCTAGTAGCATTATGAGAAAATTGAAAACGAAATAGCCATGCTGACACACGGTATCAGTCTCGATGTGATATTGGGCATCAGTAACAACTCCTACCTTGCTCTGTATGATGAGCCGAACAATACCACAATCGGGTATTCATTCGTGTACGACGAGCGCAACGACCTGCACAGCCATTATCAGTATGTATTGCGTAAAATATTGAACGATCCCAAATTACACGAAACATACATCGACGGTATCGATGGTGTCGACGTTGACTGGAACAGAGCTGCTATTACAACATACATCAAGAGGGTTGAGCATTTGCAAATGCTTCTTTTCGTCGCGATGCATATGACATACGGGCAGACAGCGCGATGTTCAGAGATCGCTACGCTACTGACAAGAAACACGCACGACGCCGACCGCCATTTATATTGGTCAAATGCATACCAGTCTATCATGATCGTCACTCATTATCAAAAGACTCGCGAACTAAAAGGTCTTGATCAAATCGTTGCCAGGTCTTACCTCCTATCTTATCGCGCGCATTTGTCAAGTACTTGGTTTTTGTGAAACCTATCGAAAGGTCAGTAGTCATCATGTTTATCATATACCATACATCAAATATCAAAATATACATTGGCGAACCTTTACTCATTCCTCAACTTTTTGTAATAGTATGTTTGTTGGACACGTCCATACGTCTCCCGATGGAATCATATCCTTTGTTACCAGCTCTACTCTTGTAATACGCCATGGAGAACCGGTGTCACCTGATGTCTTACGAGGTACCTTTTCAAGAATATGGAATACGGAGTTAGGTTACCGCGTTACATGGCAACAGTACCGGCATATATCCATCGCCTTCGCAAGACAACATATCATGAAATTACCGACTATAGACAGTACTCTGGCTGACCTTCAAGCTGGTCATAGCAGCGAAGTTGCTGGTCGGTTTTACTCGCGTTCCGATCAGGACCCACGACATCTTGATGCAACAACTGCCTTCGAATATTATCATTTGTCTGCAAAGTGGCAGGATTTGCTGGGTATGTTTGCTTTTGGTGTCATTTTTTGCTTCATTTTTATCGCACATATGTGTTATCCTCATATCGAAATTTTATACTTATATTTACATATCCGTTTTACATATTTTATAGGTGTCGGACCAGGCATTTATGATTTCTCTGCAGTGACGGAAGCAATGCGAACAGCCGCCTCAAAACAAGATCTAGCTGTGGCTGCATATCATCGAGAGAACCAGGCTATCCGTGAACGAGTCGCATTGTTGCAGTTTGAACAGTAATTAACAATTGAGAATACAGTACGACGCTTGGTGAATACGCCGCCAGCACCGGATCTGTCTCCGGATTGTACAGACGTGGTTGACAATAGTATGTATAATATATTCTTTCTTAATGTTATCATATATGTATATACGTGTATGTGTGTAAAAGATGTTGTTTTGTATGAGAACTGTTATATTTATGCATGCTTTTCTTTTTGCATAGACATCGGTCTACAGGCTTTGGAAGCGTTACGGCTGTCATTGAATGCGCCTATGGCATCGTTCAAGTCTTCGGCACAAGCAGTCGCAATTCAACATGCTTTACTGGGACAGAATGATCTTTTGGTTGTGCTTCCGACCGGTGGTGGAAAAACATCGGTATACCTTGCGCCGCTAATGAAGGAAAATCAAACGACGGTTCTTGTTCTGCCTCTCGTTGCCCTTGCAGCAGACGTCATCAAACGCGTCAAAGACCTGAATGTCTCATGTGGCGAGTACACAAACAGCATGTCAGCAGTACAACAGCTACCGAGGCTTCTATTGGTTTCCGTCGAACAGGCTGCGACTAGTCGTTTTGCTGCTTTTCTTCGACTTGCGCATAGCAGTGGAAAGATTTCCCGGGTCGTTTTGGACGAAGCTCATCTTGCTGTTCAGTCTGCCGATTACCGCCAATCAATGCATCAACTATTATGGTTGCGTACTGTGCAAGTACCTTTGATTTGCTTGACTGCCACCTTGCCTGTTAGTATGGAGAAAGAGTTATCCATTTGCCTTGGTACCAGCTTCAATGTAATCCGAGCATGCACTGTGCGCGAGAACCTCAAGTACATAATCGAAGACGCAGGGAATGACAAGCGCAAGGCTACATTGAAATGGATGACAGAAACATTGAATGCACCAAACGACTCATGCATAGTCTATTGTACCAGCCGCGAATCTGTTGAGCAATGGACTTTAATGTTACGCAAACACCTTTCGCCGTATCTCGGTAACAATGTTCAGGCATTCCATGGTGGCCACAGCAAAGAAGACAAGATCCGTATCACTCAAGATTTTCTCAATGGCAATACATCAATTGTTGTTGCAACAAACGCGTTTGGCACTGGCGTTGATCATCCGTCAATCCGTCTTGTTGTACATGTATCCGGATCGGCCTCAGTCTTAGATTATGCCCAAGAAACAGGACGTGCCGGACGTGATGGAAGAGTCGCTTTTTGTGTCCTGTTGGCAAGTAAGATGTCCAATCACAGTGACCCTAATAACGACGACGAAAGCACTTGGGCAGGTTTCCGACGGAAGATAAACAACAGTGTATGTATACGCAAGACAATCCAATCCGAGTTAGATCCTTACTCGTATACCTGCTTTGGATATCCAAACGCGCAGACATGTTCGATTTGCCATACCCCAAAAGGTCAGTATATTGTATATCTTTTTGCTACCCCTTTCTACTTTCTCTATTATAAACCTATGTCGGACACATTTAAGCAGGGAAAAGTGAAATGACAGTGACCAAACAGTGACCAAAACTTTATTTGGTCAATGACTAGATTTTTAAATCTATGTCGGACACGTTTAAGCAGGGGAAAGCAAAATGACAATGACAAACTCTTTTTGGAAGAGGACGAAAAGGGAACCGCGGTGACGAAAAGGGAACATAGTAACGGAAAAGGAATGGGTGGGAGAATGACAAGATTGAACAAAAAGGGAACGCGGAAACGAAAAGGGAACCATGGTTACGAAAAGAAAAACGTAGAAACGAAAAGGGAACTGGGGGGAATGACAAATAGTGAACGAAAAGGGAATGGGGGGGGGAAATGACAAGCAGTGAACGAAAACGGAATGGGTGGGAAAATGACAAGACTGAACAAAAAGGGAACGCGGAAACGAAAAGGGAACCATGGTTACGAAAAGAAAAACGTAGAAACGAAAAGGGAACGGGGGGAAATGACAAACAGTGAACGAAAAGGGAATGGGGGGGGGAAATGACAAGCAGTGAACGAAAACGGAATGGGTGGGAAAATGACAAGACTGAACAAAAAGGGAACGCGGAAACGAAAAGGGAACGCGGAAACGAAAAGGGAACGCGGAAACGAAAAGGGAACGCGGAAACGAAAAGGGAACCATGGTAACGAAAAGGGAACCATGGTAACGAAAAGGGAATGGGTGGGAAAATGACAAGAGTGAACGAAAAGGGAAGAACGTAGCACACGTAAAAAAGAAAGAATAAGTCGAGCGGAGTGACAGCATGAAAACGAAAAGGGAAGCGTAAACAAGAAGAAGCGAAAAGTAAAAGGAGGAGTAATGGAAAAGGAAGGGCGTAGCAAAAGCAGTAAAGTAAAGAAAGGAAGCATGGGAAAAGGGTTGAAAGGGGTAAAGCCGCGGTTGTCATGGTTACCACTACCACCACTGCATGTATGGGAAAGCATCTTCTTCCGATGGGCTCGGGGCCCCAGAACGGTATATATACCTGAAGCAAGGGGTACGCTGCTGTTTCGCTTTCTTTTTTTTTCTTTTCTTCCCTCTTCTTCCTGCTTTACTTTTTACTTTGCCTTTTTTTTTTACCAAAGTTCTTTTGCTACTCACTATTACTCAACATTGCTTCATCTTTCAACGACCTTCATGCCATCTGGTCACGCTTGCTGCATCTCACTTTACGCCACTCGAACATTACGCGTCTTTGTCATCTTTACTTGCTATGGCTGCTCTGTCCTTGCCTTCAACAGAACGTTTTTTTCTCCTGTCACTATCGTCAATCGTGCTGGCTGCCATCTATGGTGACGTTATTCTGCTCTTGTATAATAGAATCCAGCAATGCCGGCGCCCATGTTGCTCTGTTACCTGCAATCCGTACTCTGGTTTTTTTGGCTGTCGTATACGTTGACTTGCTCCATCTCGCAATTCTCTTGCCACCGAAGATCGGGGACGTGTTGGATATTCTACTCATTGTGCAGACGAACTCTTTTCCGTGGGTGTCTTGAACTCTGCTTGACGTATTGTGGCTCTTCTTGGCGTGCTTGTTTCCAAGGCTCCTTTGCTTGATGGACTTGGTTTTGGTTTTCTTGTGCTTACCAAAGATGCTACGCATGGATGCTGCTCTGCCGCTTCAAACGGACGACCTGTTCTCATAGCGTTCCTGTGTATGCTTAAGCTGTATGCCTTCATCGCCGTTTTGGATTTATCAAGATCAAGGCTGAGACTGTGTTGTTGCTGTGGCTCTCCATGGATGAACTTTGCTTTTGTTCGGACACATGCGTTTGCCGAAGTTATGATCCACATGGTAAGTTTTTCTAATTCAAGATCTTCCTTTATATTAGCTGGTTAGCACTTGTGGATTGTTTTATTAAATAGTACGAATGATTGATAGGATGAACAAGTGCATGTACACGCGCGATCATTGACGGCGGCCATTGTGGGTATTGGTGACGGTGGCAGAGGAATTTGGATGGGCGATTATTTTGTTTGTTTATGGAACAGGTGCAAGACCGTTGATCGTGTAGCCATATCAATATGCTGTTGGTGTGATAAGGTACTTTACTTTTTGGTGTATGTGTATTGCTGGATCAGCTTGAGCCATATTCTAACTTGCGGCGGTGGTTTGTAATGTAGATACTACGTTTTTGTATCATTGTTATGTGTGAGGATCCAGGTAAGTGGTCAAGAGTGATTGCTGGGCAGGATGTGTTGTGCTTAGTTAATTGTGATGGGCATGCTGATGGTAGATGAGTGATGGGGGTATATAATTCGAGTGCCGGTCTTGGTGTGCTGAAGGCAACAGTGTTGGACTAGAAGAATAGAATTTTGAATAAAGACGATCAATTTTGAAAAGAAAGCATAATGTTTTGAGCGGGTTAGAAGATGTGCTGTGAACAGCAGTTCTTTTGTCGGATTGCTGATACGACGGATTGTGTGAGGGCACCAGTAAAAGAAATAAAAACAGAAGGATCTCTTTTTTATAACTTGGCTTGATTATCAGCGTATACATATGAATATGACGGTGAACCATGATCATGCTGTCTTTGAGTGACTGTGCTGCTGAAAAAGAACAGCACAGCTCTAAAAATCATGAATATCACGAACGCTCCCAGCCATCGATCGTACAAGCATCTCTGACAACTCAGCATACACTTTTACTGATATCACTGACACCATGTGCTTCTCACGAATGTTTGCATACAACAATTTCTCTGGATGACGATTAGCAGATCTTCACGCCTGCAACGATGTAATATATACAGAGTGTTGGCCACGCGTGTTTATCATATCAAAATGAGAAAACTAAGGCGGCAGTGGTACCCACAGCACTCGAACACATATAAAACTTTGACGCACGAATATACAACACACGTTTTACACAACTCCTCAGTGGTCATTCCAATTGCTGGTCAAAACCGGCGTTTTCTGATATTAACAACGCCATTGCACGTACATACGAACTCGTATGAATATGTTCTATGCCAGCCGGTGTTTTTTCTTGTAAAGAAAAGGAGAGGTACACAGCAATTCAAACAAAGACGGTATCCAGTACTAATTTTTTGATTATATTGTTGGTGCAACTTGTATAAACATACAAACAAAGATCCCATCACACCGAACAGCAACAGCACCGATCACTTTGGAATCTATGTCTCACGACCAAAAAAAAATAGGCAATCCATCGTCCTGCTCATATCATCTTTGCACAGATCCAGGCTTAGATCCAGCAGACTATTCAAGCTTAGACAAAAAATAATCGGTATGTGATCTTTACAATTTCTGCTGACGCTATAGTGCTATAGTGATGAAGGAAACGCTATGGAAATAAAAAGACCGGTCTGTGGATTTTTTGTGTAAGAGACACTGGATTGCCCAGTTGAAGAATTAAACCTGCAAACTAAAAAGAGAACATCAGCATCAATACGTCGTCGTTGAAGCTTGTTATTGTGGAGCTGAATTTTGTGAAAACAAGGAACAGAAGCATTTCCGCAGGTATGCAGGTTCCATGCTTACACGGACACAGATGCAAATGCTGTTGTTCACGCGATCCGCCTAATCTTACTGCATTGGCCAGATGGCCAGCAGCTATGTTACCCATGAACATAGGACATTGTGGGGCATTAAGACACTCAATAGGCTGAAAAGAAGGGTATTAAGCGCAACGGGTTTAGGGGCCTGGCAGCGAACGCCAGTGAGCGAGCAGGTTTAGTCGAACGCGCAAGTCCTGGTCCGGGTTTACTAAGGTTCCGGATTTAGAGTTTCCAATTGATGAGCTTGGATGTATATGGGACTCTCTTCTTCTTCTCCACCACCTCTTATTTTGAATTGTTTTATTTGTTGGCTATTTTATATACTTCTTGGATGCTGTATGTATGTGTACGTGTATTTGATAAGTAATAGTAAAGGTCATGATCCCGAGTGGACCTGATAACCAATGATGGTTCTTGCCGCTCTAGTAATTATTTGAGTCGCGACTCAAACTTTCTAAGCAGTGTCTGATGGACACCTTTTAGCAAGGAAAAGTGAATTAACAGTGACCAAAGCGCTTTGGATACCAAAATTTCTAAAAAGGGACTATTAAAGAAGTGTTAATGACAAGCACAGACGAAAAAACGAGCGATGGCAAGGTAAAGGCAGAAGGTGCGTGCGAAAACGACAAGGCAAGGCGAAAAGGGGATATCATCTGCAGCCAATAAGCACACCCCCTTTTTTCCGAAGGTACAGCACTCCCCAAAAAAAAATTTTTTTCTAAACGAAAGGTCTCTTCTGCATCTCTTTCGCTCTTTCACTTTTTATTACTTCTTTTTGCTCTACTTGTTTTTTATTACGTTCTGCTCGCCGCCATTCCAACACTGGAACTGCTCCATGCCATCTTGCACATGCTCCATCAGAATCCAGCTTTGCTGCATCTCACGTTTCTTTTGAACAGCACTCGAACGACACTCGTCGTATACGCTTTCTTTATTCTCAACACTCGAATATTACGCATCTCGCACTTTTTTTTCAACACCTCTGAATGGCCCTCAAATGAATTGCATCTCTGACAATGGCCTGGTCTCTGTCCTTCATTTTGCTATGATGTTATGATCCCAGGATCAAGCTCTTTATTTCTGTGTTGATAACGTCAACTCTGTCCGGCGTCGTTTTCTTCTTTGCTTGGCCCTCATCAGGTACTTGAACATTTTCTACAAAATTCAGCACTGGAATGGCTATTGTATTTTACGTATATGATACTAAAGAGCACATAGTCTTTGTCTCAGTGGATTCTTTGTTCCTACTGTGGATGGACTCGACCACTTTTTTATTGTGTTTTCCTTTGTAGTAACAACTGCCGCAGCATTGTTATTGACGAGAGCAGCAACATACATCAGCAGCAACAGCAGCACTCTAGCAACAAACTTTACAACAAACGGACGCAACATCTCTGCCATTACAACTAATTGGAATAATGAAATTGCCAGTTGAATGACCTGCGAGTATCTCAGCGTGACAACAACACAAGCACAGTAAAACTTGCAGCAGTCCGCGAAGTTAAGGCCGGTTTTCTTCTTTTGACCGTAAGTGTCTATTCTTTTTAATTAGGCAAACTGGCAAAAAAAAGCAGCTATTCGCACACGGCTATATATCACCATTGAGTACTCCAATTAACGTTCCGTTTACTGTGACAGAAAAAAAATAAGGACGGGCTGACAAACGCGACGATACGGGTCCGGTGTCTCTAGCAACTCTTATCCACGAGCACGAGCAGCAATGGTACACGGATATTATATAGTGGATCATCTATATACGCCAAATTCAGCTAAAAAGTTGCTATTCACACACGACGATATCTCACCATCGAATAATATATTTAACCATTGGTTTACAGCGGCTGGATAAGGACGTGCGGACAAAGGCGACGATGGCAGTTTGGTGTTTCTAGCACGTCATGTCAACGAGCAACAGAGGTGAAAGGAGTGTGCGGATTATTTTTAGAGCAAGAGCGGCTTCAAGCAAATGAGTACTAGTACAAGGATCCGGGCATGGCGGTATCTCATTATTACACAGGTGAGGAAGAGAAGGATACCAAGGATATAAAGATAGCAAAGCTGGTTCCTTTTTTTATTGCGGTGTGGAAGTGGTGGTTATCTTCAGGTAAGGAAACAATACCATTTTTGACTATATAGTATTAACATGCTTTAATAAACTGGTATTTCATGAATTGAGATTCTGTTGTCGTTTGATATGCAAAAACAGCTCCATATGCTTCAAGCTTGAAAATACATTAGTAAATGTGGTATCTGCGGTTCTGTTGCATGTTAGTATATGAAAATCCAATGAGTGGAAGTTGATGAGTGAAATATCTGGTGTTGCTATAATGATGAAGGAGATACTATAGAATAAAAATGACCGGTCTGTGTATTTCCTGAGTAAGACACTGCATTTCCCCAGTTGAGAGTGAAATCATTGAAAAGAGAACATCAGCAACAAGTTGTATCGAATACGTCGTCGTTAGAGCTTGTAGTTGTGGAGTTCAGATGCTTGTGAAAAAAAATCAGGAACAGCAGCATTTTATACAGGCTTCTTGCTTACACACACAGTTGCAACCGCTTTGTTCAAGCGATCCAACAGATCTTACTGCTGCATTGGCCAGATGTCCGGCAGCTATGTTACCCAAGAACATAGGACATCGTGGGGCATTAAGGCACTCAATAGGTTGAAAAGAAGGGTATTAAGCGCAACGGGTTTAGGGGCCTGGCAGCGAACGCCAGTGAGCGAGCAGGTTTAGTCGAACGCGCAAGTCCTGGTCCGGGTTTACTAAGGTTCCGGGTTTAGAGTTTCCAATTGATGAGCTTGGATGTATATGGGACTCTCTTCTTCTTCTCCACCACCTCTTATTTTGAATTGTTTTATTTGTTGGCTATTTTATATACTTCTTGGATGCTGTATGTATGTGTACGTGTATTTGATAAGTAATAGTAAAGGTCATGATCCCGAGTGGACCTGATAACCAATGATGGTTCTTGCCGCTCTAGTAATTATTTGAGTCGCGACTCAAACTTTCTAAGCAGTGTCTGATGGACACCTTTTAGCAAGGAAAAGTGAATTAACAGTGACCAAAGCGCTTTGGATACCAAAATTTCTAAAAAGGGACTATTAAAGAAGTGTTAATGACAAGCACAGACGAAAAAACGAGCGATGGCAAGGTAAAGGCAGAAGGTGCGTGCGAAAACGACAAGGCAAGGCGAAAAGGGGATATCATCTGCAGCCAATAAGCACACCCCCTTTTTTCCGAAGGTACAGCACTCCCCAAAAAAAAATTTTTTTCTAAACGAAAGGTAGCTTCTGCATCTCTTTCGCTCCTTCACTTCTTTTTTCTCTACTTGTTTTTTATTATGTTCTGCTCGCCGCCATTCCAACACTCGAACTGCTCCATGCCATCTTGCACACGCTCCATCAGAATCCAGCTTTGCCGCATCTCACGTTTCTTTTGAACAGCACTCGAACGACACTCGTCCTATATTTTTTTTTTCACATCTCACCACTCGAACAGCACTCGAATATTACCCATCTCGCACTTTTTCTTTCAACTTCACTGGACGCCCCTCGATTGAAACGCATCTCTCATTTTGCTGTGCTCTTCTACGTGGCATTCGCTTGACGGCAATGGACGATCCTTGGACCAAACTCTTTATTCCTGTATTGTTACTGTTGACTCTGTCCGGCATCTCTCTTGCTTGGCTCTTATCGGATACTTGATAATTCCTACACGTCTCAGCATCGAGGTGCCTATTGTACGTCACTAAACAGCACATATTGTTTTGCCTCAGTGCTGCCGCTCTTCGTTCTTGATTCCTGCTGTTGTTGTGCTCGCAAAAATGTAAGTTATTACTTTTTTATAGTGATGCAGCTTGTGAATTGTTTCTAAAAAAAAACCACGATCGAACTTTCAATAGCATAAGCACTTGTATATGCTTGCGACTCTACTGACCGGCGTCATGCTGTTTGGCACTAGTGGTAGGTTGACTGTGTTTGATGGTCTTAATATGATTGTTTTGTAGCACGAGTACAAGGTCGTCCGTTGATTGTCTATCCGTGTGAAGATGCTTCTGGTTTTGGAGAAGATACTCTTTTTGCTTGAGCTTGTGCCGTTTATGACAGGAGGAGATAGCATCATATATATATTTACGAGGTATTATGCAAGGATGGCTGTTGATGGAGATGGTTCGTATCTGTGTTGGTTCTGTGCGGCATATACGTGGATACATGGCTGTGACGGATGGATGCGGTGGCCATAGTAGAAACGTTGCTATACTTTGCTTTTTTAAATAAAGATCAACGGTTTGGAAGCTAGACTTTACCTAAACTGTCTTTGGGGTTGCGCAAAAGAAAGTGCTTTGAGAGACACAGTGGACGCGTATGTAATCATACTGAACGGTATTTGTGAGGTGTAAAAAGAGATTGATATCTACGCACGGTTGTTGTTCCCTCAGAGTGTACGATTTACTGCTTGTGAAATGACTCATCCACAAACCTCAATGCCGTCGTCTGATTCTCGTCACAAAACTACAGAAAAGTGTGTGCTCACGTGTAGGTAGTTGTAGCTGTGTTGTATATCACGGCATTATTTGCAAGTATAAGGTGTGCGTTGAATCGTCGGTTTGGTTGTCACAAAGCAAGTGCACAATGTCGAATCTATCGCATCGTCGTAATCGTCAAGGTTGTTGAAAGGAAAATATCAAGCTGTTGTCAGAGCTTGAATAAGGCATACTACAGTATATACGAGAATGGCTGTATCAAGACCGCATTCCTAGTCTTTCGCAAAACGAATACGCCCTTCTTTATTAAAAAAAAAAGTCTATTGTACTGTGTACGGCCTACTGATTAAAATACTTTTCTTTTCTCACATGCACATGGGCAATCGGTTACCAGGCACTGCAAGGCAAATAAAATAACAGCCTTTTGTCATCCATTAAGCCTTCTCTTTCTTGCAGTAAATCCCAACGCCTGTTCCCCCACGTACGTCAAATCCACAGCATACACAAGACTTGTAGTTGTTGTCCGTTGCAAAACTTTTATTATGTACTGATATCAATAGCGATCATAAATAAATTGCTTACCTTCTAAATGATAACCGACCATCAAAGAAAGTTCGTGGCAAAAATAGCAGTGGTTGTTGAGAAACCCGACTTGTTGCTAATGTGGCGTTGATGTGGACGTGCAGCAATTGTAATTGCTTTTGGCTGTGCTTGGTGGAGAATAAACAAGCATGCTATGAGCTCGTTTGCTGGTGTACCGATGAATCAAAGAAAGATGGCGTCACTGCTGCATCACAACAATGTCTCTTGCTTTCCGACCGGGCTGGACATATTCTGTGAGCGTAGTCAAAGTCGTTTGCGAAAAAAAAAAGTGAGCTACATTTATCGTTCAGATTGTCGCCGGAAATGCACGCATCTGTGGTGCAGTTTCTCCGTGTTTGCTGATTCAAGCAATTTATGACGACGGATGCAACGGGTTGTACACAGCGTTTGCTAAATGGTCGTCTGCAATCGTTTCTGTATAAATTCGCGTGCTGTGAACACGAGTGTTGCGTAAGCTTGGTCGTTTTGATATGGATATGTTGTAGTTGCTGCAAGGCGGTCAGTTCCAAAAAATTTGTTGTAGAAGCGTCATCCAGAAACAATCAAGCTGACGATTCCAGTGGGGGCAGTAGAAAAGTGCGTGAGTTTGCGAGAAGGTGTGTACGCTCTTTATACAATATTGTTCTGTGCTTGGTTTGGTTTATTTTAAAAAAGAGAAAATTTGCTTCCATCAACACAGTCCCTAGAATCATTTTTGGCGTGGCGATGACAGTGAAAGATTCTTTTGTCAACTAGTCGCAAAAGCCAATGCCAATCGCCAAGAACAGCAACATTATACACAAAAAACGCCACTCAATGAACACACAACATTGTCCATCACTTGCTTTGAGAGATAAAAGAGAACGGTCAGAGTGAATTAACTTGACGATTTAAGCGCGATCAGAAAAACTACAGTACAAAGGCGACATAGCGTGCACTAGCCTGTATAGACCGGTTTTTCAACATACTTGGATACAAAAGTGGAACGAGATGGCGACATCGTTTCCATATCATTCGCTTTTTTTATCTACGATCAATAACCTAGAATCATTTTCGGTGTGGCGACGAAGTCGCCACAGCGAAAATGAGTGACCCCGATGACCCCGACATTTCAATTCAAGTGGCGACGGATGACCCCGGCCTGACCCCGGGATTTAGCCAATCAAATTAAGAGAAAGTGGTGAGGAAGACAGCAAAATAGCAGGAGAGCTAGCTCCACTTCTTTTATTACTTATTTTTTTTTTTACTCTTCAACACACTCGTTTACTACCGCTTTTTATACTATACATATTAAAGCAAGAGCGGTTGCAAAAAAAGGTATTTAGTTTCTGGGATGTTAATTGCTAGAGGAGCAGTGGCATTGGGATGGCGAATGGTTTACTCTCTTTTACTAGTAGCAATTGCTGA